GCAAACACGTAGAAGATGTCGTTGGCAACTGCGCTGATGCGTCTGAGGTGCAGGCACATTTGAACTGGGGTGTGTCCCTGTGCGCCGCTGTTGTCGTCAGTCCATGCCTGGAAGAAAGGTCGAGCCTGGTGTTGGCCACGTCTGGCAGTTGCGGGATCTTGATGTTCGGAAGCGTTTCCTTGATTGCGTCAACTCGTTCTGGATTGGGTGCGGGTAGTGGCGACGTCTCAGCTAGTGACTGGCGCCCGTCGTCGCCGTCGCCGCGTGGTGCCTGCGCTCTTTCTTTGCCAAGTGCTAGGGCGAGGCCCCCCGCGTCCTCTTCTCTTCTTGGATTTCCGTGCCGTGGGGGAGGCCGGATACATCAATGGCGTGTCGCGCGCAAGGATGCGGTTGATGACGGATGGAGCAGCGTCGAAGATGTGAGCAAGACGCCTCCCGCAGTGCCACCCTGCGTTCCATTTGCCACTCGTCCAGCAGTCGATCCAGTTGCCCTAGGGAGGTAGGTTGCACTGCTCGGCGTCCTCCTGCCGGGAGTCGGTCGCCAGACGAAGCGCCCGGCCGCTGGCTGCCCGTGTTTCCAAGTGTATAACAGTTTGGGTTCTGGGCAGCCGTCGCAGGTAGCACTATAGACCCCAGACCTGAGTCCCTCTGTGCCGAAGCGGTCGTCGTCGGGTCGCGACGGGGGGTTTGGCGCGCCTGTCACCCTGGGGTCGTTGGCCGAGTCAGGTGCGAGAAGGAGGAAGCGTGGCAGGCAGTCGGCGGTTGGGTTTGTGATTTTGGCAAGCCCGGTCGGGAGGTGCATGGGCGGTGTCAGACTGAAGGCTGTGGTCCTGCTGGGCATGCTATTCCGGAGGTTGGCCAGCTTTTCGCGCATCGAGTCGCCTGCGGGGGCATCAGCACCTTGCTTCTCGAGGCTCTCCACCCAGCACCCAGTGCACAGCCAATGGCAGTTGAGTCCCTCGCGCCGCCTTGCAAACCGTGCCGTAGCCAGACGTTGACGCACGCAGCCGTCGAACGTGTAGGAGGCTGGCTTCTGACGCTTCGGGCGCTCGTCGCCCCGGCGCCCCTTCTCGTCGCGGATTCTGCAGCGGGTCACCTTGATTAACTGCTTCTTGATGGGGCGGCCCTCGCCGCGGCCTCCGCGGCCGCGCCCGCGTGAGCCTCCCTCGCCGCCCTTGCCCGCGGGGGCGCCGGGGGCGCCTCGGCCGCGGGCGCGTCCCCGAGAGCCGTGGGGCTCTCTGTCCTTGCGAGCGGCCGCTTTCAGCTCTTTGTTCTGCTTCCAAGTCCTGGTGTTCGGGCGGCTCTCGATCATCGCCAAGATCTCCTCGACCTGATCCTCGGGCGCGTCGAGGTCGTCGATCTCGGCGAGAAGGGCCGTCTCGTCGTCGGGGGGCCCGGACTGCGAATCCTCGAGCTCTTCGTCGAAGTACTCGCCCCCTCCCTCGACCTGAAGCCCTGTGACCGACCGGAGGGAGGGGGGGGGTGAGAGTGAAAAGCGCGGGGCAACTAGCGGGGCCCGGGGCCGAGGTCCTCACTGGAGGAAGCCAACATCGCCGGGCCCTACTTGCCGGACAGTAGTCGCTCTAACCCGCCAGCGTCCATCTGTCGAAGAGCTCAGGATACGCTCTCGTAGTCCAGCTGGCCGCGGGTCAACGTCTTCAAATTCTGATATCCCTGTGCAGAAGAGGGCCGCCCCTTCTTCTAGAGGGAGGCGCTTGAGCTTGGAGCTCATCCAGAGGTCTTGCTCCGCCGCGTCAGACAACTGTGCTTCTCGTCGGGCGACGAACTGCGTGAGGCTCTCCTTGGTCTCTCGATTAGCCTCGTAAAAGGCTCGTCTACCTGCTCTCCTCAGCTCGTCGCCCTCCTTCTCTCCTGCCATCATGTCCATGCGGGCGAGCAGAATACTCAACTAATCACTCGATGTCAACACCTGGTCAGGAATGTTCTCGAACTTGGCTTGAAACGACCAGCCGAACAACTTCAATAACCTCTCTGATCGTCTATGCACCGCCACGTCGGTGTTGGAGTTCCATCAGAGGATCGCTCGCTTCCATTGTCTGTAGAACGACCAGCCGGGCCATGCTGGGGGATCTGAGTCGTCACCTTTTGACCATGATGCTGATGATGTCCAATCCCCCTGGTTCCAGCTTCTGCCAGACCATGCGCCGCCGTGCCAGTCGCTCAGCCACTGTCGATCTTGATGCCATTGCTTCTCGTCCGGGGATCTGCTGTCCTGCCAAGGATCTGTCTTCTCCCATGGGTCGGAGGCCGTTGCGCCGTCACATCCCTTCCCTTGAGTCATAGTCTCTTGGACTATGCTTCGGATCATGTCACGCAAGCCTCAGGGCTCGTCATTGCCGGGGGACAGCTGGAGCTGCCGGCTGCGGCGGCAGGAGGGGTCTCGCCCTCCGCAGTCCTTGTGGCCATCAGGGCCATCTCCTCTTTTCCGGGCATGCTTGTGCCGTGGACCACGCCGCCGCGCTCGTAGTCGAGAGCGAGGTCCGCCGCGGCGCGTGAGCGCCTCTGGAGCCACGACGGTCACGCCGCGCCGGCTCGGAGGCACCGCTGGCCATGCGGCGGGGCCCTGCTCCGCTACCAACTGTGGCAGCGAAGCGATGACAAATGTTTTGCCTTGAGCCACAATGTCCTCTGACCTGACGTTCTTGAGGCTGTGCTCAAGATCCCCTCGGTGAAACACAAAACGCTAAACCTGTTCACGATAGGTGCTCAACTTCCACATCTGCCGAATGAGCTCCAGAAGGCTGCATCACGCCGGTCAGCACCGGAACGGGAGTGCGCGATATCTTTTCCTGAGGGCGTGACGCAACTGAGTCGGAGGGCATGGGTGCGTCAGGGATGGCGGAATGATGATCTATCATTTTGGGCGGCTCGTGGGGGTCGAAGAATGCAAATCGCATGAAAGACAAAGTTCCTGAGAAAAACAAGTTCTAGATCCCAGGACTTTCCTCGTGACCAGCTCTTCATCCAGAGTCGTTTTCTGACGGTCCCTGGGTGCCCGAGAGCGGCGGAAACCTTCCAAGGCCACTTTCCTCCATGACCCGCTTCCTCTATGCTGCAATGGATGATGGGCCAATTTTCCACCACCACTACCATAGGTAGGAGAGGGAGGAGGAGCAGGAGGAGGAGGAGGACAAGTGTAAACCCACGAGTCATCAACGATGCTGGAATAAACCCTCCCTCCAAGCTCCCTCTTCATAGGCCCCTACAAGGGTGCATTTCCACTGAAGGAACTGCCTCGTTAGAAGACAATTCTGTTTGAACACCCTGGAGCATGCCAAAACATCAGTCTCGGGATTCTATCGCCACGGATCAACCTGACTGTTGCGTCTTGACGATTCTGAACCGTGCCAGAACACCAGTCCTCGGACTTCAACAGCGCGAGTCACCGTAACTGTTGCGCCCTCATAATCCCTCATCCTTCCAAAACACCGTTTCTGGTACGCTGATTATGGGATTCCGTGAAACTCTGGTAAATCAAAAAAGAATGCGCGCGGTGCTAAGGCGAGAACCACGTTTTGAACATGAACCGCCCTCAATCCGTGAAGCTCTTACAAATTAGAATGCGACTGTGCGCGGCGCTAAGGCGAGAGCCACATTTTGAAAACCGGTCGTCCTCAATTCGTGACACTCTTGCAAAAATTGAAAACGAATGTGCGCGGCGCTGAAGCGAGAGCCACATTTTGAAAACGACCCGTCCTCCATCTGTGAAGCTCTTGCCAATTTTCAGGCTTCAGGGTCATAAGTGGTGAGGAGGTCTCAGGCGAAACGCCCGGCTCGCCCTAAAAACTGGCTTCTGGGTGCGACAGGGAGAAGTTATTGATAAGGAGGAGGAGGAGCCCAACGTACCCATGAAGAGCATGAGCTCCAGAGGACGACCGCTGCCCCTGGCCACGGTAGGCCCCTGCCGCCCGCGGCTGCGGCGGCGGCGCGGCCGCGGGCATTCGGCCGGGAGGAGGGAGGCGAAGGAGGAGAAGGAGGACCTCCCCATCCTCCCTTCTCCCCCGTCCTACCAATGATAGCGGTGGCGGAAAAGTGGCCCATCAAAAGAAGCACCCACGGGCAAACGCACGAAGACACCTGTCGCCAAGAGGCGGAGGAATAGCAAAGCCGCGTCCCGCTCAGGCGGCCTGCGGCAAGGCGCCCACCTGCCCCCCATGGGCGTCTGCTCCACGCTGCTGGTCTCGGCAATCGTTCGACCTCTTGCTCGCCCTGCTGATGCGCCCCTGCTGCCCCTGCTGTCGGACCGAAGCCGCAATGCTCGCCGCCGCGCGCTCTCGGGCCGCGTGGCGGCCACGCTAACGACACCACGTGAAGTCCTGACGGAAACCCAAGACACGCCCCCGCCCCCTCACAGTCCGTAGAACCTCCCTGGCTCGCCCTCCTCCTCCTCCTCCTCCGTTCCAACTGGTCCTGGACTGTTGCCGCTGTTGCTGGTGTGCTGGTTTGCTGCCTGACACGGTCGCGCAAACACGGCAGCATACGCCTACAGCTCAAAGACGCAGCCAGTCCCAAAAGGTGCGACCCAACACGCTGGACACCAACATTTGCAACATGAAGGTCCCGTCCCTCGGGGGGACTGCCTGCGGCCTTCGGCCAAGACACCCCGCCTCATCGCCTGCTCTGTTGCTGCTGCTCCTCCTTCTCGTCCTGCTCCTGCTCCTCCTCCTTCTGCTGCCTCGTTCTTCTCATCGCTCCCTTGTCATGCTTCGGTGCGCTGTGACCTGGCTGGCTTCTTCTGCTCAGTCTCGGCACAACATGCCGCATCTACTTGTGGAGAGCACGCGTAACATCAGACTGAGAACGCTCTCACACGCTGTGCTCATCGACCGGCTGATAACTCTGCACTCCATGCTGCAATTTCCATGCACTCGCTTTCCCACGGCTCCTTCTCCAAGCCAGCAGTGTGAAGAGGGCAAGGATCTGGTCGCCCAGCTGCCCTAGCCATCAGAGTGAAGTTGTAGAAGGCGCCGTTGCGCCACTCAAACTCCTTCCCCCCTGATCGTGAACCGGCCTGCTTTTTCGGACGCCCGAAATTTCATACGGAAAAATGGAGTACGATGCCCATCAACAAATGATATTCAACACCGACAGCGACCGCTGTTAAGCATGCATTTTTCGTCTTAAATGAACAACGTCCGCGGCGACGCGGACAGCAAGTCCTGCTCAACATGAACAAGAACTGCTGTTGGGCAGCGTACCCATTCGTTTTGTACCTATTTCGATCGTCCCGATTCGCGCTCTGATCGTGAGCGGGCCTGCTCTGGCAGAAGATCGCGCAAAATCCATGCCTCGTGCAATGTGAGTTCCGCTAGCGCCTCACGCCACGAGCGTGGGGCACTCCAGTCCTGGTCACATTCGAGCTCGATCGATGTTACTTGTCGTGCGCTGTGATCCTCGATCTATAAGGACGTGGGAACCAACAACATTCGAATGTTAGAGATGTTCTTTTCGAGACGTGCTGGCGAAACATGTTCGAAACATGTTGAATCACGCCTCCAGACTCTCCACGAGCAGTTCGAGTCTCGTCCACTCTTGCCTTGCCTGGTGCCGCAAATTTATATGGCCTGGCCTTGCCTCGCTCTGCAATCTGCTTTGCCCATTTCTGTGTAGACTTGTTATGTTTGCCAGAGTTCTCCTGCTCCGACCCCGCTTGCCTTGCACTTCATTGGCTTGGCTTGGTGTGACGGTCAATTTTCTTTTGTATGCCCAATGTTGACTAGCCCGCCTTCCTCTGATGTGCCTCTTTTACGCTCCCTTGCATCACACTTTACTTGTGCTGCTCTATCTGCCCCTCGCTTCACCTTGCCCCGCACTGTCTTCGCTGTGGCACCTACCTGTTTGCATCTCGCCGCGCTCCCTAGCGTCGTCACGCTTAGACTGGAATTTTTCCGTCGTGAGGCAAAGCTCAAATGGGGTCTCTTCTCACCTCTTCACCCGCAACTTTCCTAGTCCAGCAAGGATGGAACCGACTAGAAGGAACATGTCTATCATGATGAGGATACGGGTGCTGATGAGGAGGTGTTCAACAAGAACTCGACAGGAGAACTCGACAGGACGGCAGGAATCATTGAAACGCAAGGGTTGGGGCCCGAACCACCCATACCCGCCAACTAGCTCCCTCCACTCTCCCCCTCACCCCGCCTCCTCCTCGCCCTCCGCCTGCATCTGCATCCTCCTGAACTGCAGATCTGAGCCTCCTCCTCGGGACGGGGGAGAAAAAGAGGGAGGAAGGACGAGGAGAATATGCCATCATCTTAAAATCGTCTTGGGGTCGTCCTGGGGGCTCCTGTGGGCCTCCGGGCCCTCTTGGAGGCCTCCGGGCCCCTTCTTGGAGCAGCATTGGACTGACGACTGGCGAACGCCAGCCCGGTGCAAAAACCAGACCGTTTTTGACGGCTTTCGCCAGGACGAGGTCGGAGGGGGTGGGGGAGCTGGCGGTTCGCACAAGAGGGTAAGGGGGAGGGGGGAGGTCTTCTTAGAAGGAGGCTGCTGTTGAGAAGGCGCTGTCCGTACATGTATAGACAAGGCCCGAACCCTCGAAGAAGCAGCCGTGCCCCCTCCCCCCACCCCCTCTCTACGCACCCCCGAAAGGGGGGAAGGGGCCGGGGGGCGCCAGGTGGTGCGCGCACACATGCGCGCACTGTTGCGAGCAAGCGTCAGCGTGACCGCACTGTTCATTCTCCTCCTCCCCGCCTCCCCCTGCTGCTCCTTCCCCTTCTATTCCTTGCCCTCTTCCACCCTCCTGCTCTTTTTTTGCGATGAGCGTCGAGCGGGCATTCACTGCTATGCTTGCTGCGTCCTGGCAAAACAAAAACTGACGCCGACTTAAACGAAGTGCGAGTCGAATAGGGCAGCCATCGACAAGTAAAACAATCAGGCCCGAAACGGAACAGAGTATGTGTACGTTCTGCGATACAGGGAGAGGCAGGGCGAAACGCGAAACGAATAGGATTCGACACCCGATGAGTCGAACAAGAGGGAAAGACATACTCGTGCAACAAACTAAGTGTGCAGGTACTTCATGCACCACCCCGTAACTTACTCCGAAAGAGCGCGTTCTGTGGTCACTTGAAGCGGGGGGATGAAAACGAACACCCCTCCTAGATGGAAGGGGGGGGTCGACCCCCCCCTCCCTCCCTTCCCGTGACGGGAGGGGGGAGGGGGTTCGACCCCCCCCCCTTCCCTCCCTATCCTCTCTCCTCGGGCCGGCGCCTGCGTCGACGGGCGGCTGGCGGCGGCGGAGACGACGACTTCCTTTTCTGGGCCGGCGTCGGCGCCTACGGCGGCGGGCGGCGGCGGCGGGGGGCGTCGACGAGCACGACGGTGGTGGTGGTGGTGGTGGTGGTGGTGGGTTGTAGTGGTGGTGGTGGCGGTGGTGGTGGTTGTGGTGGTGGTGGTGTGGTGGTTTGTTGTGGTGGTGGTGGTGGTTGTAGTGGTGGATGGTGGTGGTGGTGGTGGTGGTGGTGGTTTGGTGGTGGTGTGGTGGTGGTTTGTGGTAATGATGGTGGTGGTGGGTTGTGGTGGTGGTGGTGGTGCTTAAGTGGTGGTGTGGTGGTGGTGGTGGTGGTTTGTGGTGGTGGTGGTGGGTTGTGGTGGCGGCAGTGGCTTGTGGAGGTGGTGCTGCTGGTGGTAGTGGTGGTGGCGGTGGTGGTGGTGGTGGTGTGGTGGTTTGTGGTGGTGGTGGGTTGTGGTGCTGGTAGTGGTGGTGTATGTGGCGGTGGTGGTGGTGGTGTGGTAGATTGTGGTGGTGGTGGTAGTGGTGGTGGGTTTTTGTGGTGGTGGTGGTGGTGGTGGTGGTGATGGCAAGTTGTGGTGATGGTGGTGGTGGTTGTGGTGGTGGTGGCTGTGGTGGTGGTGGTGGTTGTGTGGTGGGTTGGTGGTGGTGGTGGTGGGTTGAGGCGGTGGTGGTGGTAGTGGTGGTGGTGTTGGTGGTAGTGGTGGTAATCGTCACTGCGTCCCCGCTGTCGCCGCCGCGAGCGCCAGCGCTGCTGGCCACCGCCAGCGCCGGCGCCGGCGCTGGCGCCACGGGGGGGTCGGGGGTTTTGAATCCCCCTTTGAGCTGCTTCTGGTCATCGTCGCTGCGTCCCCGCCGTCGACGCTGCTGGCGGCCGCCGGTGCCGGCGCCAGTGCCGGCGCCACGGGGGGGTCGGGGGTTTTGAATCCCCCTTTGAGCTGCTTCTGGTCATCGTCGCTGCGTCCCCGCCGTCGACGCTGCTGGCGGCCGCCGGTGCCGGCGCCAGTGCTGGCGCCAAGGGGGGGGGGGGTTTGAACCCACCCCCCTCTTGGCAGAGGGGGGGGTTGGGGAGGGGGGGGGGGGGTTTGGGGGGGACGGGAGTCCCCCTGGTTTTGATCGACGGCGCCGAGTGTTGGGGGGGGCCCACCCCCCGGTTCGAAACGCGCCGCCGAATGTTCCCAAGGCAGGCGCCCGTGAAACGCGCTCTCTCCTTACTTCAAGTATGCCGTGATGCAAGGCAAAAGGCAACATAAGGGCAGGCGACTGTGAGTAGACTGTTGGGATGAATACTGTCTATGATAAGTGGCGTTGTGGTAAATAGTGCGGTGGGCACGGAGGGCTCGCCCCCTACGTATTTGCCAAATAGCAACAACCACATACATGAGTATACCGAGTATGTACTGAAACTTAGAGACGGGGATAGGTATATGGTGAGGGAAGTTGATGGCACTAACGGCTGAGCTATATCTGCAAAGTTCTGGTCGGCTGGCCAGGTCGATGCTGGCGGGCCTGGTGTGGGCTGTGCGGCTTTGTGCTTGAAACTTGCTGAGGCTGCTTCCCACTTGTCATCCGACTCCCGTCTTACCAACCCGACCCCCTCTCGAATCAGATGCTGAATCGCACGTGCAGGCTATGGCAGATATGGCCTAGTAGTATGCGGCTCTGCGAGGTTTGCCAAATTGAGATGGCTGGCCAGTGACGTCATGTATGATGCTGGTGCTGTGGCTGGTCCACTTCGTGTTACAAGTTTCCACCAACGCAACGCAGAACGAATGTTCCAATGATGGGTGTGGAAGGAGAAGGAGGACTGGAGGACCGTTCCCATCCATGTAACCGCTACGCTAATAACGAAGAGTCAAAGTGACAGTGTACGGATCGTTTTGGCTGCCAACTTTTGCTCCGGATGGAAGCGCGGCGCTGTCAGCCATCCACCTGCGTTACGGCTCTTCGGCCGAACGAAAGTCAGAAGGGAAAGCAAGGTGCAGCTTACGGCGTGGTGCCCCGACAACGAAAGCAACCCGTGCCTACGACACGCGCCCGCGACTCGCAACAACAACCCGCACTCGCGACTGGCGTCCGCGACCAAAACTCCCGACCAAAATCCGCGACCCGCGCTGGAGACCGCGCCCGCGACAGGCGACCTGCGCCCTGGTTGGCCGCCTCATTGAGTGACTTCCCCGCTCTTGTCGCCCAAATGGCTGTCTCATACATGCTCATAGCGCCTGTGGGACCACAGTGACAGTGACATAGTGACACCACTCCTGATAACCAGCAATACGAGATCAACGATGCTTGAGTCAATCAGCGCCTGAGCGCCACTGGGACTGAGAGCACCCAGCCGCCTGTCATTGCCAATGAACGCCACTCCTGACAAACAGCAAGGGCAGTATATGTAGCAAGGGGCATGCCAGGGTAGAGGATCAGCTCACGTGGCTGGTTTTCCTGGCGCCTCCTGGCGCCGGGAGGCGCCCGTGTATCGAGGAATGGGCCTGGCGGCGGGGCAGAAACTAGCTGCATGCAGCAGATTTCGTAACCCCTCTTCCCCCCCTTTTCATCCGGCCCGATCTTGGCGGCGCGCAGAGGGGGGTAGGGGGACACGAAGCTAGGTCGAGGATAACATCGTGTCAAGATAAATTGACAATCACGGGAATCCGGCGGCTCTGGAAGATGTGTCGGGCGTCGCCGTCTCTTCCGGAACGCTCTGGAACGGATTTATCCTCGTCCTAGCCCTGTTCGATAGGGGAAGGAGGCAC